CCCACTCCCTGGCCAGATGGTATGAAAAGCTGAATAGTCCTTGACTTAGTTGTTGCTAAGCAGTGTTTACTCTAAAACATCAGTGTGTTAATCAGTGTTATTCTCATCCTAAATCCAAAACACAGCACTATATCAGCTACTAGGAAGAAAATTAACTGTCTCCCAGATGAAACCAGGACAGGTCTTAAGGTGTGTTAGGGATGTACTGCACTTCAAGCTGCTCTGTTCAATCAGCACAAGCTGTGGGAATGGCAAACTCTGTCAGCTTTCCCTTCGATAGGCTCTTTCTCATCTACTCCTAGATGGGTGTACATATCAGTAGAGACTGAGAAGTGATTTAGTGTGGCATTAAGATATTCCAGATAAAACTATCAATTCTGGAAATTCTACTTTCATCTAAACATGCTTCACCTACAGAGTTAAAGCTAAGGTAGGTATTTTGCTGATAGCAGAGCTACCTTGAATAGATGCCTTGCAGGAATTTATTGTACCTAAGGTTGCAAATACCTTTCATGCTGGCATTTTTCTTCACTGCTGCATGTGATAAATCTTTGCTCAATGGCCTTTTAGAAAAGCTCTTGAGGAGCAAGTCAGGTAGAAGATTGAAAGTACAGACTTTTTGGAAGGAGAATACTGTAGGTAGTTTCTACTCTTAAAGTACATAGAAAAGTCTCAGTGTTGAAGTTTGAATTGATCAATACCTGTTTCTTGAATACAAATACACACCCTCTTGCCAAGGTCCAATACATGTTTCCTGCTAGAGAGGCATCAAGAGCATGTCTTGATTTAAGCCTCCTCAGGCTTAAAAGCTCCAGTGGCAGACTAGGATGGACATGTATTTTATGCTAACAAGAAGATGATGAAAGAAGAGTGGCTGCTTTGGCCGTACTAAACATAACAAATAGTCCATCTCCAGTCTTTTTTCCACATGTCTGACTTTGAACAGGAGGTAACAGGGTCTGGCAGAGAGGTACAACCTGTGAACCTGATGTATAGAAAAAATGTTTCGTGTGGAGGAGAGCCAGGACGTGGGAGCTAAAGAAGAAGGAAACAGTGAAGAAAGCCCTAACCCTATTTCTGGGGAAAATAGTAGGGTGGGGGTGGACCAGTCCTCTCTGCACCCAACTGTCTGGAGCACATCTCCTTGCTGTGGATTCTTTGTAAAATAATGTCACTGGAGACCTCCACAAGAGCCGTTTTGCTTGGAGTGCTGATGTTGGAACTGTATGCGATGTAGTGTGGAAAGGGCTGGGGAAGCAGCTGTCACTAGTTCTCTTGATGGGCTTAAAGACAAAAATGAGTAAGCCATGTGGGAAGAGAGTGTGTTTTGGTAATTCTAGTGCTCCTGTATTAAGGAAAAAAATGAAGGAGAGGCTTAGTGGAGCAGTAAAGGAAATGGTATGAGAATGACCCTTGGGAGAGCTAGATGGAGCGTGACTGGTAGGTAAATCAGGGAGCCAAAAGAACAGTAAGCTGTGGCTATAGGAAGAGGAGGAGACAAGTCTGATTGTGCCTTACAAGTTCTTTTGGTGGGGGCCTTGCTGGGAGAAAAAAGTAGGCAAGAAGAGGTAAAAGGCAAGAGGTTGAGCATTAAGTGCAGGGTGTCGTGGGACTCCTGTGGAGGCAGAGGTCAGGGTTCGGTGGGAGCACTTATGATGGACTCGAGCTCCAGA